ATATATATATATATATATATATATGCCAAACCCAATTTGGGGGGAGTATTTTGTCATCTAAAATTCTTTGCTTATCCAGGAGTACATATGGTACTCCCAACTGCCTTTCTACCCAAATTTGCATGTAGTGAAATTTCTTCATACATTTTCCTATGTGTTCATTGTTCTACTTTGGTCTACTTGTTCTAGTTTTTCACCATTTATGTATCAATTGCAGTCATTCATTCCATTTTCCCTGTCAAACACAACCACCTTGATCTTTGATATGCTAATTTCCAGATCCATGTTCCTTTCTGCATCATAGTGTGTGTAACATTTGCTATAAATAATTTGTGTTCTCAGGCAACAAAAGACATTTTTTATATACAAAAGCATACACAGATTCACATCTCAAACACAGATACCTCTCAAGTCACCATAAGCTTGCCGTACATATTTATCATTAAACAACCAAGGGTACATCTCACATTTCCTAAGCATTACCTATGTTCTTACACATGCTTGACTGCCATAATATATTGCTCTTATTGCACTCAGCTTTAAATCTCAAATTTTGTGCAAAATTTTTCATAGTGTCATATACAGTAAACTTTCTTTGCCACATTCCTACATTTCTCAATGAAATGAAATGACCTACTGAAAAAATAAATACCTAGTCTTCATGCTTCCCATCCAGCATAAAGCTACACTGTTATTTTGCTCATTGCCCTCTCTCATATTCTGTCAGTCAAGAACTTTGCTAAACACTTTCCTAGGCATAGTTAACAAACCACTCCCCCTATAGATTTTCATTTACTTTTTCTACCCTTTCCTCACTATAGGTGAATAATAACAGCATTGTTCCAGTTGTCCAGCAGATGCAGTCCCATACATATTAAACAACAGTTGCAACCCCCTCCCCCATAAGCAGACAATATCCACATTTAACACTTCCCCAGTTCCACTTGCAACCTTATCATTTGTAAATATTCTCATAACATTTATGACTTTCCATCATTTTTTTTCTTGGACACAAGCATTTGTCTCAGCTCCACTTTTCAGTTAATTATTATCACTCCCCCAGAAGTCTCTTCCAGCATTTGCTTAATTCAGGGTCATCCCAAATCATTCCATCACTTTCATTTTGAATTCCAGTCACGCTATTGAAGTCTCCTTCTTTAGTCCTATTCCTATTTCCAAAGCAGTTTTTTCTTTTAGTTTCCATCAAAATTGCTCTGAATCTTCTCTGTCTTTTAAAATTTTAATTGTTCCTAGCTCTCTTTGTTACTCCCAGCCATGCAAGCCCCTGGGTGACTTTGGACAGTCTATCTCTCTGTAAGCTCATCTACCTCGCAGGGTGGTTATTGGGGAAAAACATAGAAGGGTGAGCGCTGTGTACGTAACATGTATTCTAATGAATAGTACTGGTCAATTTTGGTACATTTGGGGCAGTAAGCCAAAAGAGCAGCTAAGCCCAGTTTATCCAAAGCATGCTATTCTACAAACTACCTTGCAAGCCTATGTACCGTTGTCTGCCAAGGAAGTATATGTAGTTTCCTGATGCATATCCAGAATGGTTGCTACATAAAAATAGCGTTAAATCAAATCAAACCTTTATTTTGGAATTCACCATCGTAAAACATTAGAATTATAAAAATTATATCTATTAAAATATAAACAATCTAACTTGGAAAAATAATTACCAACACAAAGCTTTAAAGTAATGATATTCCTGCATCTAGTATTACTGTTAATACTATTGAGAATGTGTAATTGGTTGACTACAGGTAGTCCTCGTTTAGCAACCACAATTGGGACTGCAGCTCTGTCGTTAAGCAAAGCAGTTGCTAAGTGGGAAATCATGTATCCCTGCTGTGCTTTCCTTTTCCCCACTCCCCCATCCTTTGGAATGTTCACCCTGGCTATACTGGGATAGCTGGCTTGAAACTGACAGGACTAATCAGTTTCACATCTTCAGCTTTTGTTTGCCTCCTAACGATTTTACTTCAGCTACCTTTTTCCCCGTTCCCCTGCCTTTTGGAATGCTCACCCTGGCTCTGGGATAAATAGTAGGAAGGGAATTAATGTTTGAATTTACAGGAAGGATTTACAAGAGAGTAAGCAGGCACATGATGGAGAACACACATTGAAAGGAATGTGGTGGCGCCAGCAGCCCCGAGCATGCTTGAGGCTAGGAGCCATGAGTGCACTACACAAACATCTGATGTATTCCCCACTGTGTGCCTGCTTACGCTCTTGTAATCTCTTCCTCTCCAATTTCTCCACTCTGTGAGGGGGGAGAGAAAAAAAGGGCCAGTCACAGAAGAGATTGCTTAAAGAGATTGCTTGTTTTTTTTCCCCCTGCCCTTGAAGAGCAGAGATTGTTTAAATGGGGGGGGGGGGGGGGGAGAAAGAAAAAAAGAGCAATCTCTGTAGGCAATTTCTCCTGTGCCTGACCTATTTTTTCCTTCCCTCCACCCTTTTCAGAGCAGAGAGATTGGAGAGGAAGGGATTACAAGAGAGTAAGCCAGCACACAATGGGGAATACATCAGCTGTTTGCGTAGCACACTCAGGGCTGCTGGCGCCACTGCATTCCCCATAGTGTGCCCGCTGACTGTCGTGTAATCCCTTCCTCTCTAATCTCTCCGCTCAGCAAGGAGGGAAAAAAGAAAAACAACAGGTCAGGCACAGGACAATGTATACTGACTGTAATGGCGATCGCATGATTGAGGGAGGCTGCAAAGGTCATAAATGTGGGCATTGGTCATAAAGTTATTTTTTCAGCACCATAGTAACGTTGAATGGTCGCTAAATGAGGCAGTTGGTAAGCGAGATCTACCTATATTGTATAATGGCTCTAAGTATGATAGGGATCCTCACGGATATTACTGCCTCACCTGGGTTGAGTAAAGTGGTTACAGATTTCTCCTTCAAATTAGGAAATGGAAGTCAATTTTAAAGAATAGCGTACCATGTTATTTTAATGTTTCCAGAGTCACAGAGCTAAAATGCAGTCTTGACTCTGCTTAACTTTGTTTTGAGTTGGTACAGAACATGATACATGACCTTGAGGGTTTCATTTGACTTTTAGAAATATGTCCTTGTGGAGGGTTCACATTAGGATTAAGAAATATTAATAAACTGAAGAGGCATCCAGCTTTTTTCATAATTTAGCTCAGGAGTTACTCAAATGGTGACTTAAAGTCAATAAAGGCCGCATACAAGGAGATTGGGGTGCAAATGGAATATTTATCAATTAAGTGTTAAAATATTAGACATTGATTAGTGGTAGAACCACAGCAGCCCTGTTTCTCCAGGACTCTAACTTTCATACAGCATAAAGACCTTAGCATAAAGTTTACTGATTTTACTGATGGATCTATAATTTGCTATTTTGAAAATGGAGACCATGATTAGATGTAACCAATCTCTAGAAATCTTACCATACAGTGAGGCTAAAATAGGGGCCTACCAGATTGAATTATTACTAATTAGCTCACTCAGGGAGTTTGGATGGCTGAGGGTGGGCAGGTATCCTCATTCCTAGTCTAACATCTTAATTATTGTACCACCATACAAACTCATTGTGAAATGAAAAGCTTGTAAAAGAAAATGCAGAGTGATCCTTGCATGGTGCATACTTAAGAACTGCTGAATCTGCTATCTTGCTATTGTTCTTTTATCTGTTTTGTACAATCCATATTTCATTATTTGAAATTCTGTGTAGTTCATCTGCAGAACCGTCCTGTAGAACCCACACCATATCATGTCTCAGTTTTGTAGTGAAGTGGGTTTCTGATGCAATAACCAGTTGAGAAAAATAGCATGACTGCTGCAGTGGCACATATCTGATGTTTATGCCTTGTTTGTTCCTTTTTGTGAAACAAGAATAATGGAGCAAGAATCAGAAGTTCTATTGCAGGTTTAGGGCTGGTTTGTGTGTGAGTTTCTGGCTGATTCCCCATCTCCACCCCCTTGGTTGAATTGTCTCATTTATGTGCTCGGGTAGGTTTGAACTTTTAACTTCATTGGTACATTTTGCCGGAATTTCTGGAATAGGAGTGGAATGTGAATGAAAATTGTATAGCCACGATTGGGAAAATAGCTATCATTACTTTAAGCAGGCATATGCTCCCTTCCCCATCCCTTCTGCCCCCCAAAGAATTGTCTGAAGAAGAATGATCACAAACATAATTGTAGTAACTGGTCTTTAATCTCTGAAAGTTGCTTTTCCTAATTGTTAATTAGCTTATCTCTTTAAACTGAAGGGAAAAAATTATTTTGATAATACTGTGGGCATAGAATATAGACTTCCTGATTGAGTAAGTCAGTGGAATTTTTATAGTATTACTATAAACTGTTTCCAGTTCCTGTTTTCAGTATCATGGGCACAGTATCGTGTGCAAATGAATTCATTTCTTTTAAAGTAGGCAGTTTCAAGAGAATAAAGCAATACTTTTTATGGTGCAAGGAGATTTCATGTACACGCTTGAATGCTAGGCTCCCAGTTTTTTTCACCATCCAAATCATTCTTTTGTCCTTGTCTTTAATTTTCCTTGACAGCTGGCTTTTTAAAAGATATCTTCATATTATATTTTTTTATGTGTACTCTACAGGTAAAAAACCATATCTCTGCAATTTTTCTGGAGAAGATGCATCTGGAGCAGCCCTACAGCTCAATCAGGAAAGAAACAATAGAGAAAAAAATGCTGTGGAATCTAAACCAGAAGTGCTAAAGATGGCATCTACACCACAAAACAAGATCAAAGAACCATTTCCAAAATATGTGGATTGCAAAATTTACCCTGATTCAAAGATGTTGGCATTTCAGCAAAGTTCTGATTTTCCTTGTTCCAGTAAGACTGTTGATGTGAGACTGAATTTGCAAAGCCCATTGGAAATTCAGGAGAAGCTCTCTAAAGAGATTCTTGTAGAGATGAATGAACATTCTGTGCTCAATAAAGATACAGAGATATCTGAAAAGACTCCATTAGATCTAAGTGAGAAATCAACTAGGGCTGATTCATGCCATTCAAGCTTTACCTCAACCTTGCAGGCTGCTTTGATTGTCCACCGATGTCCTTACTGCAGTCATAAAACTTATTATCCAGAAGTCCTGTGGATGCACAAAAGAATTTGGCACAAAGTTAGTTGTAATTCTGTGGCTCCTGCTTGGGTTCTTCAAAATGGATTCAAGAGTCTAAAACATAACTCTGTTTTTATGGCAAGAAGTGGGCGCACTGGACCACCTCCTGTACTTGGTGGGAAAGAATGCCAACCTTTGCCTTTAGCCAGATTTACACGTACTCAGGTGCCGAGTGGGTTGTCGGGATCCAAAAACAATTATTCTGATATTGCTATATCTCCTAAGCCTGGGGCTATGGCTAAAGATGTACTATCCACTGGTGGCTGTGGTCCGCAACCATCAGCTGTTGATGGGTATAGACCACCCAAACTTAACCACACTCATGAACAATACAGTACAGTAGCCCAGCAGCCCCAATTAAAATCAAAATTTGAAGTGAACTCCAAATTGATGCAAACAGGAAACTTTAGCAGAAGTTCAACGCCTTCCCATACAGTGGTATCTAAACCTAGCACACAGCCCTCCAGTAGCAGAGAAACAGAAAAGTACATAGTCCCGCAAGTAAATGCTGGATCTGCTCCTTTAATCAAGCATTGTACTCCAGATACAGGGAAGGCCAAATTTTTATCTCCGTCTCAGTACCACCCTCTGTGTAAAACTGAGCCATGCATTACTCAAGAACCTCCATCAATGCCTCAGCAAGAACGTACAGCCAAGAGGGAAAATGAAATGAGGGCATTGATCAATTGTACTGGAGGATCCAGAGCAAGTCCTTTGATGCAACCTCAGCCAGTTGCAGCAGGACCTCCTCCACCTGTACATTCCACCAAACAGGAGCCATCCCCTGAGGGGCATGAGAAATGTTTGGATATTGTAAACATCTTTAAGACCTCCATTCCAAAGGATCTTGCTACTTTCTACCAAACCTGGGGTGCCAATAGCCCTGTAATGGACCGTGCTGGTAAGAATCCTAAGAACTGTCTTTCCAGCATATTTTTAAATTCTTAATATTTTCTAGCGTAATGAATTCCACAAAACACTGTGTTGTTACTGTCTGCGTTTGACAAGATTATCTCTCCTATTTAACTGTCCCATCCTGCATCAGATCATTTAGGCTGCTTATCTGCAAGTAAACCGCTGTTGAACTTAATGGAATTTATTTCTGAGGAAAGATATGTAAAATCGCACTGCTAGAATTCTATCCTCAGTTAAATCCTGGATTTGGTCCTTTTTTAAAAAAAAAAAAAAGTGGGATGCTTGAAAAGACTTGAGAGAGTTTCTTCTACATGAGATGTCCAAGCAGAAGTTACAGTATCAGATTTACTGTCAGTCTAAAATAGGGAGCGGGAATTTACTTTGAGAGAGAAATTATTTCAACAAAAGCATACTTTTGTTGAAAGAGTTTGGAGTGCAAGGGATTTTCAGAATACACTGATAGATCTGTGCATTAAGATGTAGGACTGAACACAAAACATTGAAGACAGAGGGAAAGGAAATAATAAAACACAATGCAGTATTAGAACAAAATAATTTTGGCTAGGTTTGAAGTTTATTGGATTTTCAGACTTCAAGTTAGCTGCTAGAATGTAATTTTACTAGCAGAATCAGAACAGTAACGTCTCATTTGCAAAGTCCCCTTTCCATGTAATGGATTTGAGTGGAGGTCTTGGGAATTTAGTAATTCAGATTGAGTTGAAGGATATTTGGCTCTGCACATCCCAAATCCCACCAACCCTGCACCATTCTTATTTTTTATTTTGAATGGCTGTGAATTGCAAAGTAGATCCTTTATAGCAAGCAAAAAAAAGTAAATTTATAAATAGCAGTGTCTTCAGTCATAAGGGGCAATTATCACTTTAATATTCAAAATGGGAATTTATTAATACCTACTTATTAAACTTGTGCTCAGCCTTCATGCGTGTGATATGATAGCAATAATAAAAGGAGTGCTCCTGAGCATATGCAGAGCTCCTTTTCTATCGTCACGTTACCAGAATTTCACAGCTAAAACCTGGGATTATCAGTAGCTAGTGGGCTCCCACAACAAAGGGATGACGCAGCAGGAGAAAGCAAAGAGGATCCATATTCTGGGTAAGCTGGAAATTGTGTCCAAATACATGTTCTCAGAGTTTAAGATGAATTGACCTTACAAGATAATAAGGTGAAAGAATGTGGCAGTTAACACCAATGGCTTGTCTTTCCTAAGTGATTTATTAAAATTTATTTCTTTTTCTTGTTGGCCCCAGTGTAAATATTTTTTGTTGCTTATTCTCCTAGCAAGATAAATATAGTCCTTTTTCCTTATGAGCTAAATTAAGACAGATTTAATTATTAACCAGTTAGAAATAATGAGACCCATTTTGGGAATATTCCTTGCAAATGTGTACAGTACATGCCCTGACCATTTGTATAGTAAATGTGCACGATGTCCACTGAACAAAAGGAGATCACAGGATGTTTGCCAAGATGTAGAACAAACATCACTCCTGTGGTTATGAGTTTTATCCATGACAGCTATTGATAAGAAACTAACCCCAAAATATGGCATAAACATTTGGTTTGTAAAAGATACAGCGTTAGCAATTATCTGTGAAGACTGTAGGGCAGTATCTGATAGGTTGTAGAGAGTAAGGAAGGTAACCTTGATAGAATTGTTACCTAGCCAAAAAGGGCTGAAACCTTTTTTAAGTCCTGAGAAACAAGGTAGTATTCAGAAGCAGTTTAGGCAGACACCTCCCTAATTCACTGAACAATAAGCAGGAGGAGGAGGTGCAGCACAGTCAGACTTGCAGGATTCTGTTATTATAGCCAATCTCAATAAAAGTAGGTAGTCTTCCTGTGGAGTCAATTTCCTGGCCTGGTCTACCCTCTAAGATGTTGCAGTTAAAATGTATACCCAGTTAGCTTGTTTGTTGAAAAAGTTATCTTATAAGGACCCCATCTCATAAATGGATGAAAAAGATTAGTTTTCTAATTTTGCATATTTGAACCCACATGTGAACTAAAACTTAGTTATTTTTCAAAATTTTGGTTTTTCCCAGTACAATTTGCTGAACAAAAACATGGCATGAGTTCAGGAAAATAATGCATGGAAATGCATCCTAATAGAGAAAAATATGTGCAAAACCTGGATGGTAGGCAAACTTGAAAACAAAAATGTGCTTATTTAGAAAATGTCCAAAGAAAATACAAAAAAGAAATTGAATTAAGACAAGAATAAGATGAAAGAAAAATAGAAAATCAAATTGACAGAGAGAAATCATTGTGACAGATTTACTCATCAGTGTAAATATTTGGCAGTGCCTTTTTTATGTGGTGAAGTAAAATCAACTTGCATGTCAATGAGTCTGTTCTTTGGTTCCTCCCATGTCAACATTGTTCCATTTCTGGAACAACTAATGCCAGGATCAGGAACATTTTTCAGAGGATAATTTTTTTCTGATATTAACTTTGGTATGTAAGAAGCAGTCACATATTAACCAATTCCCACGTTAAGGCAATAGGATAACTCTTCCCAAATTATTTTACCCATAATGTTGACTTTTGGGGTTGCTTAGGCTGCAGCCATAAGGAACTCTCAAATGATGATGATAATGCTGTTATACAAGCTAGGGCAGCTCTCATTTTTAATGAGACACCCTACAATTTCTTAGTGTTAAGTAAACTTGTTAAGAAACCAAGTTAGCACATTTAAGCCAAGGACTCAGGTTTTGTTGCTAAATTAGTCATGCTGTCCCAAGTACTGTGCAGAAATACACATGTGCCATTGATCTAGAAGGAAGATTGTGGATGCTGTGACTAACAATAAAGAAGCAAGGATTTACAGGAATAGTGGGGAAAATATGTAGATTCATACATGTATAGACTAGGGTAAGAGCATTATTGTTAAGCTAAAGTAGCATAGTAGCTTCATCTTTTTTTCTGTTTTAGAAATAGAACATAATCACAAAAACAATTGAATATTTTCTACAGCACAATTGTACAGTGTTGTCAAATTCTCATGCACACTCATTGGGCATTGCTTTCTGCAAACACATTGGCTTTGTCAATCCTAGTAATAAACCTAGGAATTCAAAAATTTGTCTTTTGTGTTACTTCACTTTTCATTTCCTTTTCTGATCTGCATTGAATCCATGGCCAGTGCAGACCTGCTTGGACAACAGTAGCCACCATTTTGCTTTATCAAAAATCCCATTTAATGCCCAGAAGATATCACTAATTGTATTTTCATTTAACATTCACTGGAATTGGTGAGACTTTGCAGACCTTAGAATTAGCTTATTTTGTATTTGCCAGATTGTCTTGTTCAACTCCATTAATTTCTTTTTGTTTTAGTTCTCACTTTTTTTTTTTTTTTTTGCTTTTCACACACACGCACACACACTTAGGAGTCTTATTCATCTTTAATTTAGAATATTCAGTATACTTCTCCTTTGCAATAGAACTTTATTGGTCCCAGTAGAGCATTCCCTTATGAATGCTTTAGCATGCAGTAGAATTGGGGCAGGTTTGGAGCTGTGGCTTTTACATTTTAAATTGTCCCTCTGTTCTCAGGAGACAAGTGCACAATTTTGATTCCTTCTAGTAACACAGCGATTTTCCAATCCCTTGGAGAAATAGTTACAAGTACCACCAGAACATCAGTGCAAGTTATTAGCATTTGTATTATATTGGGCATTCACAAGCTTTTTGCTTTCTTAAGAATGTTGTTAGGAACAACAGCATCCCAACCCCCCACCCCACAAGACCAAGCCTTTCAGATCTGTAGAGGTTATTTTTCTATTTTACTACAAGTGTTATTTACACCTATCATAGTATTAAATGTGACACAGGCAGCATGGCAATTATCCTTTCTAGTTTCACAGGAATTACTCTGATGAGAATCTGAAATTTATGTAAATAAAAGTGAGTAATATTTATACACACCTGCACCCTTCACTGATGGTGGTATTGTGATCTGTATAATATGTTCTGCATAAAGACTCAACGTTTTTAAAACATTAATGTTGTTTCTGTTTTAGTGCTGACCCTGCCTATTCTCAGAATATATCATCTAAGCATGCACTCTTTGGACTGTTCCAATGCATCATCAGTGAACTTTTTTTAACATACATATTTGCCAAAGCATAAACTGGCATAATATGTTGTCTTCAGTAGGCTGAGTGACTGAATGTTTCAGATTTTTTTTTTTTAATAAAGGGATTGATTGTATCAACGATAGCATTTTTTTCTCCATGAATTAAATGAAAGGTCACTTCCATTCACATAATGAGAGGTATTCCTTCTTTCGTTCCTTCTAGAAACCAGTACGTATTTTTTAGGTGTGGGGTTTCAGCCAGGAGGGACAATAGTTCTTTCTGTTCCTGTGTTAAAAGCCATTTTGTAAGAAAAGTAACTAACAATGCCAAATTTTATGTATGGGGACATATTTAGTGGCTGCTGTCTGCCTTCCCCAATTACTTCATGGTGAATTAATGATACTTAATACTGATATCGCACATGTCATGTGGTTTAAAGCTAATCATACACAATATCACTTATTTATAAAATTTCCATGCAGCTATGGTTTCTGGGCAACTGCTTTAATAGCCCTTTCTGCATCAGCTTATCCACTCATTCCAGGTATGGTTCCAGTCTGAGAATATACCTTAATTTTCAGGTCATAGAAGACAACTAGTTTTACTGACCCTCATCTACTGAATGGCTACTTAGAATGGTCAAGCTGTTTTTCAAGACAATTCTTTGGTCATTATTGAACTTCTTGCAGATGAACACTGAGAATCTTCCAAACAATTCCAGAGATTTCCAGAGCATAGTTGAAAATCATTTCTTTAAACATTTTCCTACTTTTATTTTTAGAGTCAACAGTAGAATATTCTAAACACATTTCTAGATCACATTCACAAGAAGCTCCCTGCATAGATTGCAGATATCATCTTGATATCTGCAAGCATGACTATTAAACTTTCTTTGCATTCTTTTTCTACATAAATTTGTTTAATTACTTCAACATGAAGATTTCACAGAATAAATATTTCCTTGGACTGTTTCCTCTGAAAATACCAATTAATCTTGTTACTATCCTTTAGAAGAGGTTGTTCTCAAGCTTCCCCTTTGATATAGTTAATAGCTACTCCCTTTTTCATGGAAACATAGTCATTAAAATTCCATCATGTATTGCATTTCATCATTTAATTTAAGAAGTGAGACGTATATGATGAAACTATTGCCCACAACATGGCAGAAGTTGGCATAACTGGTTCTTGTGCAAAATCCTCTTTTTGGCAGGTTTGGCCCATTGGTTGCCCACTACACATAAGGTTTTGCACTGTTATGAACAAAATCCCTTAATTTGTATGGTGACCTGTTCTACACCTTAATGATTATTTATTTATCATATTTATATAGCTGCCCATCTCATACAAAATGACTCTGGGCAGTGTACAACAATTAAAAAGAATAAATACATTTAAAAAATTATATGGCAGTACCAAAAAAAAAAGTCCAGTTTAGGTGTGGCAGAGTAACTGGGATAATTCCCAGTGTGTTGAGAATTACCTACCTAGGCTAAAGACCAATTACCAAGTCAGTGATTTAGTCACAACAACTAACAAGCCATACAGTATATCGAAACATCATATGTGAATTTATTGCAACCAGTGATGATTATATACATTTGGCCAAAAGTGAAGAAAACCAGAAGCACCTAAAATGTACATATCAGAAGTCTTTTTCAGGAGTAGCTGAAATGAGCCTGCTTTGGTTGGATGAAATAAAGCAGGGACGCTTCCAAACGTTGCTCCAACGTGTTTCTGTGTAGCCCTGCGTATGTTGTATTCAGTGTCTGCTGCAATGGAACTCAACTCTGAAAACTTGTTGATGTGGTTTGAAGTATTGATGCAGTGTGCAATGCATTCCAGCTTAGCCAGCATTTGAAAAGGAAGGGGTTAAAAGCTTTGTTTTGTTTTCCTGTAAAAGAAAGATGGCAACTCATTGCTTTATCTCAATCATGGGAAATCATCATACCTTTGTAAAAAAGTTTAGAATTACACCCACCCCACAAATGTCTTTGCGTGAAATGAATAATTTCACCCCTTCTCCACATGTCGTACTTTGGTAAACGTTAACTAAATCTGTCTTCCATCTATCTGTCTGCCAGGTTATTCTGGAGGAAAGCAAACAGGCTGAAGGGGGAGGATTTATCAGCAGGAAAATGATCATGGGAAAGGAAGGAGACGGAGGGCAAGCTTTGAAACAGTGGGAATTACACCCTTACCACAAGAATGATTTGATTTTCTCATTGTTCTTGCCCCACATTTGGGAGTTAAGAATGGAACTAGAAGCTGGTGTAGAGCTCTGAAACAATAATACATTAATCCAGAATAACAGTTTCAGATACAGGGACAAACCACAATGAACACATAGCAAGATTTGCAAACCAGGTTCAAATCATGGCTACAAAATTTCTAGTTGAGAGCAGTCTTGGATATATAAAAATAAAAGAAGTCATCACTTTCAACACCTAATACTAAGGCTGCATTTCCATATATGTTATGTCTGAATGCGGCCTTGCTGTTTGTATGTGTATGTTTGTGTGTTTACTTGAAATATTTCTGGATTGCTTTTCTAAAGGAGAATTGTCCCCAGGGAAGTATTTTCAGTTGCATTAAACAAAGCTAAGTATCAGTGTGGCTGGGATTTATTTTTATGTTCTCTTCCTTAAAAGCAGATTTAAAGAAAAAGCATACATTTTATTATTTTTATCCTCAAATTTCTACTTTTCCTGTACCAAACATTTTAGAGACATTCAGAACCTTGAAATCTCATTGATCATCTATGCCTGTGTGTTTTAAGGCAGGGAATATTAATGCCAAATAAGACCTTTTTCCATCCCTTTAGCAAAGATTATATTAAATATCTTGAGAAAATAAATAATCCAATAAAAGTCAAATGTGTCCTTTTTGATCACAGTAAAAAGACAAAGACCAGCCCTTTAAGTCAGATACTGTAAACTGACCTTTGGGGAAAAAGAAGAGGTTTGAGTCATTTTCCACAGATGCTAATGGCGTAGAAAACATGTTTATGAAAGGCTGGCAAAGGACTGCTGCATTGCTGTGATCTCAAAATGTCCATAATGACACTTTGATTTGCAAATGTCTTCTCTCTGTGCCTCACAGATCTGGGGTCAAAATTGTACCGGTAGGCAGGAAAGGTAGGGCTAAAGGTCTGATTCATTTGTGATGGCTTCACTCATTCTGCACTTGTCTCCAAGGTATTACAGCCTGTGGGGAAGTAGGGTGTGGGGCAGTCAAGCTCTGGTCCTACTCACTTTCTATTATCCATATGACTTGTCTCTACCACGCTGGAGTCACTTTGATTTGCCAGATGTACTGCTTGACAAAGCAGGGTGATGGCTGAAAAGTGGATCCAGCTGCTATGAAAAGCGCACACCTGACATGCCACTCCTGGTGCGGGCACATCATGGGGAGCATTTTTTAATTCAATCTAATTTATGCATTCTTACAGTCCTGTGTGTGTGCCTGGCCTGTCAGCCTGTGCCTAGATGAAGGCTGACAGTTGTTATCCAGGGCCTGAAGGTAGCCTCACATAATGACACATTAGACATACTAATGATGTTTTCCTCTGGCATATTGTTTTCTTCTCAACTTTCCCTTCTTCTCTCCTTCCCCCCCCCCTTTTCTCTCCGCCACAGGGATGCTTAGAACACAAACGCGCCAAGGAGACTATCTCTGTGTAGAGTGTGGGAAAGGCTTCACCCAGCCAAGCCACCTCAGGACTCATATGAGGTCTCACACAGGTATATTCCCTTACATGTCTTCCAGAGGGATGGGGAGAAGCCCCTACTAACAATTATATATTCTTAACCTTCCTTGTCACTAATCTGTTGTTGTTGGGGGTTTTTTGGGGGGGGGGGTTGGTTTAAAGCTTCTCCATTTTACACCATTTCAGATTTGATTAGCATTGCTTGTTCCATTTCAAGTACCTGAATTCTCCTCGCCTCCCTTGCAAAACTCTGCAAAACAACATTAAATAAGCTGATTTGCAGAGTTTTGTTTTTTGTTAAAAAAAAAAACCTTTTAATTAGAAAGCAGAATACTCTGGAATGAATATGCTAATGAAATCTGTTGCCGCTGGCACAAATTGAAACCAAACCCCCTTTTGAACTGAACAGAAAGCTTTCTTTCTCCTTACTGTGGACTCAGATAGGTCTGGGATTTGTTATTTTTTCTTGTTCAAAAACCTTACCCCCATTCTATCTCTTAGAATGG